TTTTTTATATTATATTATGTTCCCTCTGTTCATTGTCTTCTCTGTGGTAAAGCTCAATTCGCAAGCTCTTTCCTTCATGCATTAAAACATAATGTAAATTCAAAACTTCGTAAAAATGTTGATTTTTATGGTCTATTTGGACGTTTCGGGGAGGATTGGGGCTGTTTTACGCCGATATATTCATTATCATTATTAACTCCTAACATTATATCATTAATCATTATCATTAACTCCTCCTTGTGAATATCCCAATTTACAAATTTGTTATATATAACCCGCACTCGTACTAGTTAAATACGTCTATTTTGTACGCACTCATACGTCTATTTTTGTACAATTTGAGTGCAAGGGTGTAACTAAAATGCTATAAACCGGTAATATAAGCGTTGGAAACCTACGCTTTTAAGGTCAAATGAGAATCTCGCCCTTAATAGGTAGGTTTTGGTGTACATTATGAACGCCAAGCGTAAATATGGCAAGGGGGGAGGCAGGGTCTATAACTTTTACCTCTTGAGAATGGCGACTTCTCAATTTTTAATGTTAATGCCTGTATTTACCTATGCAATAGCCCAATATCCGTACATACCAGATTATCAGATTTCTCTGTTAAACAATGTGTTTCTGTCTCTCTCTGTCAGTCTCTCTCTCTCTCTCCGTCTCTCTCTCTCTCTCTCTCTCTCTGTCTGTCTTTCTGTTCTTTCGTGTACTAATATATTACCAAATCAATTAATTTATCGCTCTACCTATTAATCATTCCCTTTATATATCTGCATGTCACCTTTCATATCTCCTGTAAATTCTACATTCTATTTCATGAGCTTTTAGAGTCGAGTAATGTGAAAGAATGTAAAAAAAAAACCTTAAGCTATCACATAGTTGTAAGACAGCTGTGATCTGTGTTTCATTATTAATGAAGCGTTTTAATTATTCCAAGAATTTTATAGTTTTTCCCTCACTTCATGAAAAGTTCTCACAGTAATGCACGAAAAATATAAATAATATTAACAAACACCACGGAGGTCCAAAGGCAAATAAAGTATAAAAACCCATTTAACCATTTACAAACCATGTACTAATGTTTTTTTTTTATTAGCCAAGAGATGGAAAGTAAAGATTATAACCATAGTACAGATACATGCGGGTTGGGGAATTATAAGGAGTAAGTGTTCACCCGATATTACTATGTAGAACTTGCAAGGAATTTGAGGACAAGAAGCTGGGATATAAGGACAAGGTGAAGGAACTGTGAACTGAACCACTTGGACTATCGGGGATCGAACGGAGGTATTGAAAATAATCTTCCTACCACATTATGTCTTGGAGAGAACACTAAGGAAAAGGAGTCAAAGAGGCCTTGAAACAATTCCAAAATGAGGGAAGAACGCTTGAAAGCGTATTCGAGAGGGACAAGGACATCTTAATTACTATGTGAGTCTCCTGTTGTTGGAGTTTGCTGAGCCCTTTGCTTGCCTCCTCGGTCCTTACCAAACTCTGGAAAAACACTTTTCTACATAATATGGGGAAAACAACTACATGAATCTAGGAGAGAGAGAGAGAGATATGGTCGTGGATATCATTGCAACACGAACACTGGGGGGCACACACAAACAGGGTGACATCGCCAGCATATGGGACGCTGTTAAACGCTAGAACATTGTTAAGAAACCTAACTCAGAACCCTTTTAAGGCAATGTTCACAATATTTATTTGACACATGCAGGAATATGCAGCACCGGCATGGAATCCACACTCTGATAGGCATACAAACCAATATTAAAAAGTACAGAGCAAGAATTAAAGAAATATAAGGAAATGCTCGTGTCCTGTGCGGGTGATCCACAAGTATAATATACTGAAAGAAAATGTTGTGGAAGCCTCCATAAATCACAATTTTCAGATCAAATTCGGCAAAGATTTCGAACATCAGAGTAGCTCAATTGTCAGCAACACGTACAACAAGGCTAGAAGGCGGGGGCCAAGAGTTACATCTCACTTCCCCCTGGTCCCTGATATGTAAGTACAAACGTACCTTGGAAAGAAAATCTGTAGATCATTCAGCATTGAATCTAGTTGTTAATATATATCATGGCAGGACGACATTGCACAAAGAACAAGGCTCTCTTGACGTTCACGTAATGTCTACACATAACTAGACTATTACCAGAGCGACCCCGACCCACAACATCGGAATAACTGACAGATGAAGCTACAATGGAAGCAAAACATAGCAAAAGCACTTCACATCAAACACTCATCCAATTATCGAGAGTCAGCTCCTGCATTCGCCCTTCTATCAACACGATCAAAGGAGAACTAACTGTCAGTGGACACAGCATTCACTTAGACAGGACAGCCACCTTTCTTCTCATCACCCCTGCGTAGACAGTGATAACTGTAGTCTGTCCTCTATAGCAGTCACCGTCTCTCTTCCTCTGAAGATGCTAAGTTTAATTTAGCTAAATTCATAAAGCCCATTGAAAATGCCCTATGAAGTTTGTAAACTATTTGTTTCCAGCATTCTTCACTAACTGAAGATAAACCTATTAAATAAAAATGATTCGTATAAGTATTGATCTAACCCACTCAATCGTTTTCAATAACTCCCATATATATATATATATATATATATATATATATATATATATATATATATATATATATATATATAGAATAGGGGTGGTATAGAAGAAAATATCAAATGTTATATATATACAATCTTATATATACTCTTTATTTTCTTCTAGGCTATATATATATACTTGCCCTATAGGTATATGTATATATATATATATATATATATATATATATATATATATATATATATATATATATATATATATATATATAGAATATGTATTTGTTTAGGTTTGAAATCTATCAAAAAGTTGAGGAGGGCGTCAGGCCATTTCTTTAACTTTGCGCGGCGCCCTGTTATACTTGACCCAACTTTGGCGAGGATGTATGGCTTCCAGATGACTTGTAAATCTGTATAACTTTGTAAAACATTCGAGCGCAGTGCCAGAGGTGGGAGACAACTTTCCAGGAGAAGTGTGACCTCTTTCTCTAACTTTTTGCATAATGGCTGACACATGGAGGCAAGGAAGCGCCAAAACTTACCCAAAAATCCCCAAGAATCACACAATTTTCGGCGATATTTGAAGACTAGGATGGATCCCCTCCTCCTACCCCCCCACCCAACACCTTCTTTATCTTTCCTCCTCGTCTCCTCTCTTCTCCTACACCACCAACACCACTGCTATCGTCACTGATTCTACCACCACCACCACCATCATCACCACCATCACAAATGCTACCATCGCGACCACCACACCCACATTCATTCTACCTTCACTCTAGTACCATCAATTCCACCAGCATCACCATTAACATCTGTATCGCAGATATATATGTCATATACAGATGTATATATACATATACAGATACAGATGTATCGTATCGCTTCCCTATCGAAGTCATCACCACCTGAACCACAATTTTGCACCACTGCCACCAACTTCGAGAAAACCCACTACCCTACAACCATCATTATTACCACCACAAACCTAACCATCTAAGCCACAGCCTTAATATAAATTATCCCATCATCCCAAAACTCCAACCCTCCTCCCTCATCTTTGCAGAGAGAGAGAGAGAGACAGGGAGACAGAGACAGAAAGAGAGAGATAGAGACAGAGACACGTACACTGTCTACTCAAGTGTCTCTCACTCTGAGAAAGTGAGGCCCGGTGTAATGGCTACTTCACCGAGAGCACTAATGAAAAGCGTTTGAGAGAGTTTCCTTAATGAGAAGCTGATGAGAAAGTCAGCCCTTGCTTCTTGCTTACTGCTCGCTTCCTTGCCTTGCTTGCTTGCTTGCTTGCTTGCTAGATGCTTCCTGTTTAACTGTCTGTTAACTGATACTTACTGTATGCTTGGTTGAACACTAAATTCTAGTCTGGTGCTTGTTTAGGGATTTAAGGGGAGACATGATCACCACATATATGATTCTCAGAAGAATTGATAGGGTACATAATGCCAGTTTATTTAACACAGAGGGCACACGAACAAGGGGGACTCAGGTGAAAACTTAGTACCCAAATGAGCCACAGAGACAGCAGAAAGACCTATTTAAGTGTCAGAGTAGTTAACAAATGGAATGCATTAGGCAGTGATGTGGTGGAGGCTGACTCCATACACAGTTTCAAATGGAGATATGATAGAGCCCAGTAGGCTCAGGAATCTGTACACCAGTTGACTCACAGTTGAGAGACGGGACCAAAGAACCGAAGCTCAACCCCCGCAAGCACAACTAGGTGAGTACACACACACACACACACACACACACACACACACACACACACACACACACACACACACACACACACACACACACACACACACACAATCCCCAGGGCCTGGTAGATAGCGTGCAGGACTCGTAATTCTGTGGCGCGGGTTCGATTCCCGCACCAGGCAGAAACAAATGGGCAAAGTTTCTTTCACCCTGAATGAACCTGTTACCTAGCAGTAAATAGGTACCTGGGAGTTAGTCAACTGTCACGGGCTGCTTCCTGGTGTGTGTGTGTGTATGGTGGTGTGGGAAAAAAAGGTACTTAGTAAACAGTTGAGAGGCGGGACCAAATAGCCAGAGCTCAACCCCCGCAAAACACAACGAGGTGAACACACACACACACACACACGCACACACACACACACCACACACACACACACACACACACACACACACACACACACACACACACACACACACACACACACACACACACACACACACACACACACACACACACACACACACACACACACACACACACACACACACACACACACACACACACACACACACACACACACACAAACATTTTAGTCACAACTCTCACAATTTGATTTTAATTTTGTTCTTAATGAGTCACAAATTGGAAACTCGCCGCATCTCTAGCGCCAACTCAGCTTAAAACAGTGACCCAAGCTTAATACAGAACCAGTCCAGCTTAATATAGAACCAGCCCAGCTTAATATAGAACCAGCCCAGCTTAATACAGAACCAGCCCAGCTTAATATAGAACCAGCCCAGCTTAATACAGAACCAGCCCAGCTTAATACAGAACCAGCCCAGCTTAATACAGAACCAGCCCAGCTTAATACAGAACCAGCCCAGCTTAATACAGAACCAGCCCAGCTTAATATAGCCCAGCTTAATACAGAACCAGCCCAGCTTAATACAGAACTAGCCCAGCTTAATACAGAACCAGCCCAGCTTACAGAATCAATAATACAGAACCAGCCCAGCTTAATACAGAACCAGTCCAGCTTAATACAGAACCAGCCCAGCTTAATACAGAACCAGCCCAGCTTAATACAGAACCAGCCCAGCTTAATACAGAACCAGTCCAGCTTAATACGGAACCAGTCCAGCTTAATACAGAACCAGTCCAGCTTAATACGGAACCAGCCCAGCTTAATACAGAACCAGCCCAGATTAGTACAGAACCAGCCCAGCTTAATACAGAACCAGCCCAGCTTAATACAGAACCAGCCCAGCTTAATACAGAACCAGCCCAGCTTAATACAGAACCAGCCCAACTTAAAGCCAACACATCCTAACACAAAACTAACACTGCTTAACACCAAGCTTCACCAACACAACATATCACCATGCAAACCAAGTATTATGACGCTTCATAAAGCACCTCACCAGTTTAATATATGGAGATGACATATATAAAATGACATACCTTCCTTCAAGCAGGGTTATATCTGTAGAGTATATCAGCCCCTCAACTCAATTACAATCTAATACTTTAAGCAGAATATATACACAGTTTTGCCAACTCGGTGTACCAACCACTTGGACTAGCTGATTCAGCGACGGCCTCGGTTCTTGGAGGATCCAAGACATTGGATCCCCGATAGTCAAAGCGGTTTGGCACCCTTCCTTCCCACCGGCGATATTAGCTTGGCTGGTGCTATAGCATGCTAGTGTGTAGTAAGCCCTGACCTTTCTCTGACCTTATCTCAACAGGTCGTAGTATGAGGACGCGAGGTCATCGACCTCCTCCATCAGCCCATCATCTCAGCCCAGGATATCAACATCCGGAGGATCACGCAGGCGACATAATCTCAAAAGGGAGTTCACAGAGTCGTTCCGGACGAGCTCAGTCCGTCTGGACAGATGCTAAACACATCCCGGAGGAAATTAGCATGATTTAATGGAGGCGGTGGCGACGAGTTAGCGTGATTTAGAGTCGCCTACAATTATTGTGGGAGGGAAGGAAGGGGGGGGGGGGGTAATAATTGCAGGTTAAAGCCGATAGTCTTCATTTGCTGTCTCTATTCCGTCATTTTCTGTATGGTGTTGTCACTCCCTCATACACACACACTCTATCTGTCTCTTTGTTTGTCTGTCTCTCTCACTCTTCTATTTGTTTCAAATCTCTAATTTATCGGGTGTTAATGTCCTGTATTTTAATTCGTATACTGATTGAAGCATTTGGAATTATTGCAGTGAAATGAAGTTTATATTTAAAATTATGCTACGGAAATCCCTGATAACCGGTTCTTAGAATAATGCTTCTCACGTTCTTAAAATAATGCTTCTCACGTTCTTAGAATAATGCTTCTCACGTTCTTAGAATAATGCTTCTCACGTTCTCAGAATAATGCTTCCCACGTTCTTAGAATAATGCTTCTCACGTTCTCAGAATAATGCTTCCCACGTTCTCAGAATAATGCTTCCCACGTTCTTAGAATAATGCTTCCCACGTTCTTAGAATAATGCTTCTCACGTTCTTAGAATAATGCTTCTCACGTTCTCAGAATAATGCTTCTCACGTTCTTAGAATAATGCTTCCTATGTTCTTAGAATAATGCTTACTATGTTCTTAGAATAATACTTCCCGCGTTCTTAGAACAATGCTTTTTCCCCTTAGGAGAAAAATGGCAATGACCGATGGGTCAGCGAGCACACATTACTGCTCTTTAGTCTGGTGATTTAACAAAGGCAGACTTTCTGAACTTTCAACTTTTCAATTTTCGTTTTTTTGTCATTTTGTTATAAAAAAAATAAATTTTTTATTGTATAATTCTTCAATTTGTTTTTTTAATTAATTTATATCCAGCTTTCTCTACTTGTTTTATGCTTTGTTACTGACAGCAAGTGAGGCAGTGAAGAAGGTGGTGGGGGGGGGGGACAGTGATGAGGTGGGGGATGTTGGGGGGGGGGAGAGGCTGAAAGACTGAAGAGGGGGGACAAGAGACGGTGAGGAGGATGAGAGAAGAGGGGTCTAGAGATAGCAAGGAAGGCATGAGACTGTCAGATGCAGTGAGGATGTTGGGTGGAGGAGATAGTTAGGATGTTGGGTGGAGGAGGAGAGAGTTAGGATGTTGGGTGGAGGGGGAGAGAGTTAGGATGTTGGGTGGAGGGGGAAAAGGGGCAGCTACAGTGAGGAGAAGGGGAGGCTGTAGAGTGAAAAAGTCAACAACATCAACACGCTAAGCAGTGTGTCAAGCATATAAGATATACTCTCCCAGCATCAATATGAAATGAAGGAGATGATAAGCCAACATTAAAGAATAGAGAGATAGGTAAATCTTCATACGAAGGCGAACAATCACGTTCTTGGGAATACATTCACGGCTGTCTGCCTGAGATCACAGACAATTGACACTGGTAGATTGGCGTCTTGGTAGGCGTTGTTGTTGTTGTTTAAGATTCAGCTACTGGGGAACAAAAAGTTCCAAGTAGCACGGACTATGGTGAGCCCGTAGGGGACTTACCTGGCACAGTAGCGGGGCTGTAACTGTTGTCACTCTTGGTAGCCGAAATATATGACACATATAGGCAGTCATATCAGATCATTCAGATGGAAATTATAAGGGAAAACGCCAAGCCATTATGACTACATAGCACTGGGAAGGGGTCAGGATAAGGGATTTGGGATGGGACGGGGGGCGGAAGGTGGGAAGGAATGGTACCCAACCACTTGGATGGTCGGGGATTGAACGCCAACCTGCATGAAGCGAGACCGTCGTTCTACCGTCCAGCCGAAGTGGTTGGGCAGCCATGCAGAAACATTGAACAAAGTTCCTAATAAGAGAACAGACCTGCTGAAGGGCAGGGGAAGAATTTTATCGCAAGAATTAAATAGATCACTATGAAAGAACTATGGAGAAGCCGAGGTAGAGAAACAGACAAAAACATTTAACAAAAAACAAAAAGAGTTAAAACGAAAGAAAAACGCAAGATCAGCAAGGAACTCAAGACGAGTGTCTATGAGATATTCAGGACTGAATCAGAGCAGTTACCAGCAAAGGGCAGGAGAAAATCCTGGATAAGAGATTGATAAACACTGAAACAACAATTGAGAAAGTGGAGAGATAATTGAAGGTACTAGACAAGGCCGAAGAGGATCACAACGTATCACAATGGATCCTAAAAGTTGGTACACCACATGCAATGGTATTTAATGTTAATTGCCCAACAGCTACGAGGCATCTAATGCACTACTGATGAACAAAGAGTAGTACCGGCAAAATGCATTCATAGAATTACTGAGTGGTGTCATTGAAATAGGTAACCCTGCAAACTTCTTGAAAGAATAATAATGCAAATAGTGGTAGAAATTGCATCTTTCTTGACTGCCTAAAAGGCCTGATACACCCAGGGAAGTGATACGTTATGAGGACCTCACTTTACTGGAGGGAATGAGGATCGGTGACATGTTCAAGACATACATGATTATAGGGGATAATCGAAAATATATATAAAAAACACAATCAATATTAAAAATTAGAAATGGTGGAACGAGGACAAATAGTTATAATTAGGGACGAAAAAGAACAGCAGAGACATCAGAGAGATGAATGAGTTATACTCAGATGGAACGGAGGAGATCAGTGCATTCTTGAAGCTACAGTAACAACTATACAGTTTAAAAATAAACGTTTTGCAAAAAAATAGGGCATTACCTTAACCAACCAATGCGCACGCATGCACGCACGCAAATAAACGGACAAACACACACACAAGTGCACAAGAACACTTACACAAACACCTAAAAATAAAGTGACATTTGTTAAGTATGTCCAAATTTAAAATTACGACCAAAATATATGTTGATGAAGGATGATTAGCACATCAAAAGAGCTCTATAATTATAACCAGAACTTGTCGTCCCTGAGAAAGCTCTCTCTCTCTAAAAAAATAAAAATATCCTACATAAATTTCCATGTATTCCGGCGAGGAGTTACCATTTGTCAAGTATATCATTAGTCAGTCTTCCGTAAATCTAAGGGGAATAGTAGCGTTCTCTCTCTCTCTCTCTCTCTCTCTCTCTCTCTCTCTCTCTCTCTCTCTCTCTCTCTCTCTCTCTCTCTGTCTCTCTCTCTCTCTCTCTCTCTCTCTCTCTCTCTCTCTCTCTCTCTCTCTCTCTCTCTCTCTCTCTCTCTATCCTCCTGTCTCTTTATCCTTCCCCCACCCCCTTGGCCACGATTTATCAAATTTTCCCGATATTCAGATTCCTACCTTCTGTTTTTCTAGGGATCTTCTGAACCCTCATTCATCCATTTTCGTCAGCTCTCTCCATCTTGTCAACTCTTTTCATTCTTCCCATTCATGCACTCATGTTTAGTCCCATTCCTTTTCTGTATGAGTGGAAGAGAGAGAGAAAGAGACAGAGATGTTCTAAATGTTTCCTTCTTTGACAGCTCACTTTCTATTTAGGAATACTGCCTGAGTCCTCCTTTTCCGGTTCCATTTTATTTAATATGTTCTGAAATCCTTATCTGCATGACATTCCCTTTATTTCTTTACGTTGGGATCGCTCCCTTCTGAGACACACCTTTCTTGATCCTTTCTATCTCTTCTCTCAGTCTTTTCCCTGTTTTCTCTTCCCCTCTTCTATCTCTATGCTTTACCTTTCTCTCTTTTTCTTCTATGTTTCAATTCCTGGCCCTTTCGTCGCCATATTAGTTTCAAATTCTCAAATCCCTAATTTTCTATTCATCTCTGTTTCCTCTTCAGCGTCTCCTCAGAGAGTCGTCTTCCTTGCAAGGTTGAGTCGATGTGGCAAAGTTCGGTCGGCCAAATTTTAGAGGGCATTCCAACTTTTCTCGAAATGCCACTTTGCCAGTTTTTCTCTTTATTTTATTTCTTCGGCTACGAGATGAGTCGCGTTAGATGGTAATGGATGAGTCGCGTTAGATGCTCTTCCAATGAGTCACTTCCAAACTCATCTGATTGAGGCTCTTATGAGAAACATAAAATATGTTTAGACATAATAATAATTTAGGAAATTCGGGAAAAAGATCTCCGTAAGTTGGAGAAACGATTGAAAAAAAAAATACATTCCGAACTTAAACCCGTAATATTGCAGAGTGACAAGGAATAGCAACAGGAGCGAGAAAATCCAGCGAGCAGTACAAGGTGAAGAGGGAGAAAACCAAGAACAAGAACACAAATGTTCTAGAGTAGACTGATCTTTCAGTCTACTCTTGAACACATATACAACAGAATAACGTCTACGGTCTACACTGAGCTCAGAAATGTCCAGTTAGGTTGTTGTTGTTTTAGAGTTAGCTACTCAGAACGAAGTGTCCATGTAGCACGGGCTATAGTGAGCCCGTCCGGTTAGGGTTAAGGAAACTTGAAATAGACTTGCAGCTCTTC